TAATAAAAGTGTCCTCTTTCCAATGAACTAACACGTTTTAAAAAATAACTTTTAGTTTTTGAGAAAACAATGTTTGAAGTTTTGATAAAATTTTCCATGTTGCAACCTTCATCGACAATTTTCAAAATTCGCTGTAAAATTATTTTTCTTGAAGGATCCTTGTGGAAATATCACCAATTATTAAATAAAGTATCCTCTTTTTAATGCAAAAAGCTGTTTTGAAAAATAACTTTCAGTTCTTAAGAAATAAATTTTTGAAATAATCGACAATTTTCTCGAATTTTGCAACTTTCGGCGATTAAGTTTTAAAAATTCGTAAAAAATCCACTTCTTAGAATATGAGTATGAAAATTTCCCAAAGTGTTAATAAAAGTGTCCTCTTTCCAATGAACTAACACGTTTTAAAAAACAACTTTTCGTTTTTGAGAAAACAATATTTGAAGTTTTGATAAAATTTTGTTGCAATTTTCATCGACAATTTTCAAAATTCGCTACAAAAGTAATTTCTTGAAGGATCCTTGTGGAAACATCACCAATTATTAATTAAAGTATCCTTTTATCACTTCAGAAATGTACCACAAATTATAACCATAATGGCCGGATAGATATGCAGCTTTTCGCAAAATCACTATCCGTTCCATCACTAATTGTTATACAACGTTAGATTTAAAAAATAAGAAATCTCAGAGACGATGAAAAAATATTTAATTTTTATTTTCGGTGCTACACGTGTTTCGATCGAACTATGCGATCTTCATCTAGCACGACTAGAGACAAAGTAAAAATAATTTTCATTATCATATCAGTTAATTACAAAAAACAAACAAATTAAAATTAAATTTACCGTCAAGAGTTGTTGATTGAAGAACAAATCATCAGGTTGAAATATTTGACAGTAAAAATTGTACGGTTAAAATTAGCGTCAAACTAAATAAAATTATCACTAAAACTATATTTTAAAAAATACGCATTAGACGGAGTTAAAATTAAAAATTCTTTAGTTTAATCGTATGGAAATTGATGGCAGGGTAGGTGTATGATTGACAAGAAAGGACTGATTGTAGATGGAATTTTCTGGTTTTGACGAGATTTACAATCGCATGCGCGTTTGTGGGAAGAGAAAACAACGTTAGATTGTTTCCCCATTTTCATTGAACTAAAACTAGACCTACAACTAGAAATATTCAGGTTAAGTCGTGCGTCTAAATTTTAAAATTAAAAATTTTTCATTTAACAGACTTTTGGCTATAATGGACACTCCCTTCCCGTATCAATCCGTTATATCGAAGTTTTACTGTACTTTGAAGATGGAGCAAATAATCTTAGAGTGATCTACGAATAATCTTCGAATAATCATCGTATAATCGTCATAAAAGCATTAAGTGAAAGTTGTCTTCTTTGGTCAGTTTTCAATTAGATGCATTTTCTTTAAATGTCAATTTAANACGCACGGCAAAACCCGAAAGTTTCTAGTGTTAGTTCTAGTTTTAGTTCTAATCTTAGTTTAATTCACACCGGCCGTGAAAGCCTTCGTACTTATAGTAATAAATAAGTTAAGGAACTTTGAATGATCGTTTTTTGTGGATTTCAATCGACGAAACAATAGATACAACAGGAAGATATATTTCAAATGTCATTATTGGTACTTTGGATCATGATTTTGAGTTGATAAACGCTAAACAACAATTTCTGTTTCGTGCTTGATAAAGCGAATCATAGCACTATTGCAAAACTTTTAGATGATTCTATTAAAATTTAAGAAGCTTAGACCAAACGGTTTATCCAAAAGTGACACATTTAACTTGTCTTTCATTTCTTGTCACAAACTCAATGAAGTTTGTATGCAAATTCGAGGTATGTACATTAACGTCGAGCGGCTTATCGTCAATGTGAAAATAGTATATTATTCAACAAGCGTATAATGGCGGCTTTTACGCACGAAGATGAAGTTGCAAGTTGCAAGTTGTAATCTGAGTGGGTAACATCCATTATACGCAAGTTGAATACTATACTTTATTTAAAAAATAAGAAATCTCAGAGACGATGAAAAAATATTTAATTTTTATTTTCGGTGCTACACGTGTTTCGATCGAACTATGCGATCTTCATCTGGCACGACTAGAGACAAAGTAAAAATAATTTTCATTATCATATCAGTTAATTACAAAAAACAAACAAATTAAAATTAAATTTACCGTCAAGAGTTGTTGATTGAAGAACAAATCATCAGGTTGAAATATTTGACAGTAAAAATTGTACGGTTAAAATTAGCGTCAAACTAAATAAAATTATCACTAAAACTATATTTTAAAAAATACGCATTAGACGGAGTTAAAATTAAAAATTCTTTAGTTTAATCGTATGGAAATTGATGGCAGGGTAGGTGTATGATTGACAAGAAAGGACTGATTGTAGATGGAATTTTCTGGTTTTGACGAGATTTACAATCGCATGCGCGTTTGTGGGAAGAGAAAACAGGACAGGCAGCAACAAGAAATTCAAATGGAAATGGTATGCATAACAAAATGCATATAACAAAGTATATAAAGTGTATCTAAAGAAAATCGTGGAAACATCTGTTAGTATCGAAGTCAGCAATGTCGTTCATAAGTATATTCTCTTTTTTGTGTAGACCTATATTATATTCCTCATAAAGGTTCAATTCGTTTGACTTCTTTAGATTTATAATCAGTTTGACATTTTGAAATTGTATTCTGTGTTTTTGTTCTTGTATGTGTTTATGAACGGCTGATCTTGAACTGGACAAATGTTCTTTGAACCGAGTGTATATATTTCTTCCCGTTTGGCCGATATATATTTTATTGCATTCCGGACATTCGATTTTATAAACACCACTTAATTCCTCTTTTCTATGTTTGGCTTTATTATTAATTAAAAAATTGCTAATTTTGTTATGAGATACAAAAGCAGGGGATAAATTATATTTTTGTAAATTGTGGTTCAGTTTATTTTCTAAAATAGGGTGAAATGGGAGTATTAAGAATTTTGAGATGTTTTTTATATTAGGAAAAATCAAGTTGTTAATTCTAGAACTATGGACCTTATTATAGATATTTTGTAAACTGTTTATAGAGTAGCCATTATTCATACCAATAGTAATTATCTTCTTGATTTCTATTTCTAAGTTATTTTGGTTCAAAGGGATGTTATAAATTCTGTTAAACATGAATCGAAAACTGGCATGTTTATGCTGTCTAGGATTATACGAATTGTTGGCAATGACATTGTCCGTAAATGTGTCTTTCCTGAAGATATTAAATTCAAGTTTTTGATTACAAAGATTCTTGGTAATGTTTAAGTCTAGAAAGTTAATCATGTTGTCTTTTTCCATTTCGATAGTGAACTCTAAGTTGGTAATATTATTAAAGATATTCTGTAATGCTATCAGATTGGCGGAATTACCCTTATAAACAATTAGTATATCATCAACATATCGACTATAAAAAACGACATCTTTTGTGAAAAGCTTATATTTGTTAGAGAAAAGTATCTGTTCAAATTTGTTGACATATATATCTGCAAGGATCCCAGATATTGGAGAGCCCATAGGTAATCCATCGGACATTTTAAAAAATCTATTATCGATCGAAACACGTGTAGCACCGAAAATAAAAATTAAATATTTTTTTATCGTCTCTGAGATTTCTTATTTTTTAAATAATTTTACGATGAACCTGGAAATAACATTAACTAAATTACTATACTTTATCTACAACTATTTAATTTTGAAAAAAAATCAAAAAAAAAGAAAAGAAATAAACTTGACAGACATAACCTCAATTCAAGAAACCTGTCATTTCTGTTAATATTTTATTTTTTGATTAGTAGGCCGTGTCAGAACTGTGGAATAATGGCTTCATTACCAATTCATTTACCAATTTTTTATAGAGCATATTTTCATAATTAAACAGCTTTTTTTGATTTTTATAGAACATTTTTTTAAGCACTTAAACTACCATTTTTGGAGCATATTTTTCGTTGCCCTAGTGATGAGGTGGATTGATAACAATCCATTTCCGTACACCCTAATTGTTCCGAAACCCACAAACCAGCCTCCGGTCCTTGTTCTTAATGTACCTTCTCGATTTCGGAGGTTCGCTATCATCGTTGTTATTTTAACTTTGGACGCTGCACCCTGAATAAGTCAGACGACGTAACATTTAACCATTTTCTCAGGTTTCTAAGCCACGATATTCTTCTCCTTCCAATCGATTTCCTTCCCACAATTTATCCCTGGATTATGAGGTGCAGAAACTCGTATTTCGGACCTCTCATAATGTGGAGAATAAAGAACATAAAAATGGAATCGCGGGATCGTTCAAGGTCTCAAGAAGAAATGCGGACAAAATCTGTAGACGAAGGAAACGGGAGTACCAGAACATCCAAATGTTGAATATGAAGAGAAACTTTAAAGCTAATAACATCATGAATTTGTTGGACAGCTAAGACAAGGGTACAAACCACATACGGCTCTATGCAGAGATGAAACATTTGGAAAAATTATTTGGAAACGGATAACAGTTTATGTACCATACCGAAGAGATGGGAGTGCCATGGGACCTATATACAGAGTGTTTACGGTCTTGTGATTTTATTTTCAAGGGATGCTTAAACATCTCAAAGAAAGGTTATTAACGTAAAAATGTTTTAACAAAAGTAGCATAATGACAGAGATATTACTGTTAAAAAAATGTTGTAGTCTTTATTTATTTTTTATTTTTAAGCATATTAACTGAAACGGTTTTTTATTTTTTTTTCATGGAATCCACTTTACACTAACTGTTCAAAGTTATCTCCGTGTTGTTTGCCTTGGTTTTCCCTTCCTATTGTCTTCGCAGCTGCCTCAACCTGGTTAAAGATGATCTAAATCAATTATTTCGTTAATGTAATAATAAATAGATAAATAGATGTCAAGGGGATTAGGGTCAGGTGACCGAGGAGACCATGAAACAGGACCACCTCAACCAATCCACTTATTTGTAAACACATTATGTAAATGTTGGCGAACCAAACGATTAAAATGCGGCGGTGTGCCATCTTGAAGAAACCACATTTGTTGACGCACATTCAAAGGAACATCTTCCAACAGGTCTGACAAATTATTTTGCAAAAAGAGATAGCCACTTCCAGTCAATCGATTTGACAACACAAAGGGGCCAATAAGTTGTCCATTGACCAGAAAATGATTACGACGAACAGCATGTGGATTTTCGACAGCCAAGATAATATATGCTCGTATAGATAAAACAAGCAAAAATATGCTTTAACAAATACGGCTCAAAATTCATAGTTTGGTTTGAAAGAAATTTCTGTCTATTATGGTCCATTCTGTTCTCGGATGTATGAAAAAAAATATACGTTTGCATATTTTTGGTTGCCCTGCTC